AAGATTGGTTGCAAGTGAAGTACAGAGAATAATTTCATATTATTACTGAAAAAATTAGGTTAAGTGTACACTGTATTCGGTAAATCAGAGTATCAAAACATAAACCTTAGAGATGATAAGCGTTGGGCTCCACTATTTTTTAAGGATATCAAGACAATGTTTCCATTGTTATTAGTGTTTGGGTGGAAGACCTTGGTCTTAAATGCAACCAGACAAGGAAAATATTGTTAATTTTCTCAAATATAAAATTACCAATCCCACATATACGAAATGACACTTTTCTTAAAACTCATGCTCGTATACTCTAGCACCATAATGGACAATGTTGCCATCTCATTTGTTTTTCACGGACACTAAATGTGTCAATTACAAAGCTGAAACCTTAAAACCAAGTATAACATTGAATAGGCTTTATAAAACATGTCTGCACTCCTACATAAACATAAGAGAACATCACATTTTATTTATTCAAGCATGTACAATCATTATCTATTATGAGCACCTTACCCTACATCAACTCTAGTCTTTTTTCACCAATTAGATATAGCAGTCACCTCTCATTTTTCCATTGGATAATTAGAAATTTTACATTTGACAAAGCAATGTTATAACAAAGATGTCAAAAGTTCTACATTTATTTGGATATCAACACAAAAATAATAAAATGAAAAACTGTCAAACTGACTAACTTCTTATATGCACACAATGCCTTGATCCATACAATGCCTTGCTTATCAAACTACACATATTTGCACCAACAGTGAAAAGGAGAAAAAATATAATAGAGTTAAATAAGACCAAATAGTTATCCTAACGTAACACTCTGATATCTCGGATGCGTTAATTGATTAATTGACAACAATATACCACAAATATATACCCAAATTTAGGGTCAAAACTCTAATTATCACAAAATTAAATCTCCAAAATATACAAATGGATCTCCTCAAATAATATATTGCAACAATAAAATCAAATTTGACTCTTTCCCCCACTTATCATCTCTTTGTGGGACTTGTTCCCTCTTTAACTCCACGCTTTAATTCTCCCTTCCTTTAGTCAATCGTGATTCCACCCACCTCTCTATAGCGCTCTTGCGAAATCATTGGTTGGCTTCGACTAATAATGCTTTTTGTCGACAACTTTAGACTAACCCATGACAGCAGAGCCACATCACAAAGCTAGGTACTATGCTCATTTTTCAAAGTTCTATGCCCAATTCTGATTTTTAATCAAAGGTCAGACTTTGAATCATTTTAGTACACAACACTCGAAAATGGCCAATAAGGATAAAACCTCACAATTAGAAAGAGGTCGGTCTAAAGATTTGGAATAAGCCAATGGAAAGGTTATAAATCTACAATTCTTTGATATCTCAACTCCGATCCTTCTCTTCGAGATCATTCTAAAAATATTAAAAGTAAGGCAGTATACAACACTGTAGGAAACAATATGCTCTGTAATACCCCAAAATCTACCCTGAAAGACATTACTATCTGACAGGATTTGAGAATGGCCTACTACCCTAGTAGGGTTGGCTTTATATTTATATACAAGTAAGGTAATATGATGAAAATATAATAGTGCCCTCAAGGCTTACATGATATCCCGTGTTTACATATCCTATTACACCCCCCCCCCCGGCAAGTTGTTGGGGAGGCTTCCACAACAACTTGTGTCAAAAAATAAAAAAGGTAGAAATGGGAAGACCCTTGGTAAAGAAGTCTATAAGTTGATGGGAAGAGCGAACAAATAGTACTTTAAGAAAGCCACGACTAACCAAATCATATATGAAATGATAGGATATCTCAATGTGCTTGGTGCAAGCATGAAAAATAGGATTGACAGCTAGTTGAGTCGCACCCAAGTTATCACAGTAAAGAAAGCTAGGAGAGGTGATAGGAAAGCCAATGACGCATAGAAGATATGTAATCCACAACAAATCAGATGCAGCAAAAGAGAGAGCCTTGTATTCAGCCTCTGTATTGGATTGAGCCACAGTCACTTGTTTCTTTGTACTCCAAGAGATAGGATTAGAGCCAAGAAAAACACAGTGACCTATAGTAGAGTGACTAGTATCAGTGCAATCAGCCCAATCAGCATCAACAAAACAAGAAAGACTAGGAGAAGAAGATGTGAGAAACCGAATACCATAACCAAGAGTGCCCTTCAGATATCGGAGAATACGTTTGATAGCCTGAAAATGAGCATCGTGAGGGGCATGCATGAATTGAAAAATTTACTGGACTGCATATGTGAGGTCGGAACGTGTGAAGGTAAGATATTGTAGAGCACCAATAGTACACAGATAATCGGTGGGATCGGGTAGAAGTGCACCTCATGAAGAGTCAACTTTTGCCCGAAAGTAACAGGAATGGAAGTAGGCTTGCAAGACAACATGTCCAGGTGAGTAAGTAGAGAAATAAGATATTTAGATGTGTTAAGTGCATATGCAAAGAGGTGCGATGAACCTTGATGCCAAGAAAATTGTGAAGATCACCAAGATCTTTCATAGAGAACTGAGAAAACAAGCGATCAATAACAGATTGAATAAGAGTAGGAGAGGATCCAGTCAGTATAATGTCATCAACATAGAGCAATAAAATAACTGTCCAAGATGAAGAATGAAGAACAAACATAGATNGATGTGAGAAACTGAATACCATAACCAAGAGTGCCCTTCAGATATCGGAGAATACGTTTGATAGCCTGAAAATGAGCATCGTGAGGGGCATGCATGAATTGAAAAATTTACTGGACTGCATATGTGAGGTCGGAACGTGTGAAGGTAAGATATTGTAGAGCACCAATAGTACACAGATAATCGGTGGGATCGGGTAGAAGTGCACCTCATGAAGAGTCAACTTTTGCCCGAAAGTAACAGGAATGGAAGTAGGCTTGCAAGACAACATGTCCAGGTGAGTAAGTAGAGAAATAAGATATTTAGATGTGTTAAGTGCATATGCAAAGAGGTGCGATGAACCTTGATGCCAAGAAAATTGTGAAGATCACCAAGATCTTTCATAGAGAACTGAGAAAACAAGCGATCAATAATAGATTGAATAAGAGTAGGAGAGGATCCAGTCAGTATAATGTCATCAACATAGAGCAATAAAATAACTGTCCAAGATGAAGAGTGAAGAACAAACATAGAGGAGTTAGCTTGCCTACACCGAAAACCAATAATAAGGAGTGCAGAGCTAAAGCTTTGAAACTAGGCTCGTGGTTCTTGACGAAGTCCGTAAATAGCACGATGCAACTTGCAAACATGTGTGGGACTAGAGGAATCAATGAAACCAGGAGGCTAGGACATATAAACCTCCTCATGGAGGTGACCATGCAAGAAGGCGTTCTTAACATCCAACTGTTTAATGGTCCAGCTTCGAGAAACAGCTATCGATAGGATAGTGCATATGGTAGTAGCCTTTACAACAAGGCTAAAATTATCATCAAAATCAACACCTTGTTGAGTAAATACCTTGGCAACTAGTCATGCCTTAAAGCGTTCAATTAAGCCATCAGCACGCTCTTTAACTTTGTAAACCCAACAGCAATCAACAACATTCATCGAAGAATCATGGGGCACAAGCTAAGAAGCACGGATACTTCGTTAAGGTCGACGTACCTGTATTGTATATGATACTCATCGGATACTCGATGATATGTATCGGATACGCATCATCCATATCTGATAATTAATAAAATATGTGGATACTTCGCGGATACTTCTAAACATGGAGTAAGATGTATAATTTTCAATTTTAAGCTATACTCCTTTAGAGTTTACATACAATATAAAATATCAACAAAATTCCATTTGATTTTGAAGACACAAGTGTTTTTTAAGTGTGTGAGGACATGAAACACAAAGAGAAATACCATGGTCATGTAAAAATGAGCGAAAAGGCCCCTTAAATTCTTTAGCTCAATCAAATTGAAACCATTTAATCTTGTGCCCAAATTGAGTTTCCCCTGTATTTTTAAAATTTTGGAAGCATACAAGACTGTCAGATCTACATTTCATGGGATAAATCCAAGCAAAACGACTAAAATTATCAACAAATAATATGTAATAACGAAATCCAATAACTGAAGCAGTAGGCGAAGGCCCCCAAATATCACAATGTACCAATTCAAAAAGAGTATAACAATGTCTAGTAGATAAACTAAATGGCAAACGTTTACTTTTTCCAACTTGACAAGCATCACATACAAAATGAGTCAAGGATGAATCAAGAAAAGGAACCAGCTAAGTAGATTTGAGTTGAGAAGTGATCTTGTGAGCTGGATGACCAAGTCGCCTATGCGAAATTATTCTTGAAACTGGAGAAGAAGAATAACCACCAAACTAAACTGCCACATGCTTTTTATTTGTACCAACCGTTTCTTTGTTGAGTCTATTCCTACTAGTCAACTCAAGCACTCCCTGTGCTAGAATAGAATATAAATTATCTTTAACTGGACCCTCCAAGAGTGTCTTCCCCCGTCCAAATATCCTTAACAGCAAAGCCCCACGAAAAACCAGAGAAACGCATACTGATTATCTTTAGTGAGTTTGGCAATAGACATGAGATTTTCCTTTAATTTTGAAACATATAAAATATCATTTAAATCTAAAGACTATATGCCTGTGCATAGAGATGATTTACCAACATGAGAAATATGCAAAGAATTATNCATATTTTCATGTATGTTGATTCATCCTCATTCTCATGTATGTTGGTTGCTTCTTAGGAATCTACACAAAGATTCTACCTGGTTCACCCATCACAATCACATAATCTCAGTCATTTTTCGTAGTGTCAAATCACAAACCACTTTAGGAATGGCGTATACTATTTTTCACGGCATTGACAAATCCTTTCCAAGAATGGTATAACATTCCTCAGTCTCGAACTTACGTGAACAATAGTGGTTAACCTCACNAGCCAGTGAGGCTCAATGTGATCAACAACTGAGTTAGACGAAGCAAGTGATGATAAACGCAGTCTAGCAAAACTCTATGCAAGTGTGGAGCGATCATCGAAAGTAAGATTATCCCGAGCATAACGAAAACGATAGTAATTTGCGGTATGGCCAGGATTTTTACAAATTTGACGATGAGGTTGTTTATGGTGTGAAGAAGCTTGATTAGGGAAAAAATTATTTCCATATCCATAACGAGGGTAAGAGGGTTGGTTGTCACGGCGATGATCATGACGGGAGTCATGGCGTGGACCTTGGGGATTATCACGTCTTTGATCAGTGCTCTGGCGATTACCATCATTGGATTGACGGGCTGCTAGAGCAGATTTTGATAATTGTGCACTAGCAGGGGCAATGAGCATGGATGATTGAGAATGGAAGCACTTTAAACGTTACTCATGAACTAACAGTCGTGCCCAAAGATCATCAAAGTGAATGGGATGTTCACGATTTTCTATTGCAGACACCAAGGGCTGATATTCCATAGTATTCCATTCAATGTGCGAGTGACTAAATCAGAATAAGACAGACACAGGATGATTTATGGCAGCCAAATTGTCTGCAAGAGATTTGATTCTAGCTAAGTACTCTTCAATGAGTAGCATACCTTTACTGAGACCTTGTAATTCAGCACGAAGAAGATCAAGTTTGGCTTGAGATTGTTGATGGAAAATAGTTTCTAAGGTGTCCTAAACTTGGCAGGATGTTGACAAACCCAAGACTTGCGCACTAGCGCTAGGTGATAGTGGACCCTTGAGGCATAAGAGAAGAAATTGATCTGTTTTCAACTACTCAACGTATGTGGGATTTGAGATTTGGGGTTTTTTTTCCTTGTCAGTCAAAGTTTTGGGCGGTGGAGAGATTGATCCATCGACATAGCCCATGAGATCATTGCAAAGAAGTATGGGGGTAAGTTGATCACGCGATAAAAGATAATTTTTAGAATCTAGTTTAATAGAGACATGGATTGGAGATATTGGTGATAGGAAAAGAGAATAGAGAAGGAATAGTTGCGCAGGTTGTGGAAGAAGACATGATTTGTTGTTGCATATGGATTTATAGAAGGATGAAGAAGCGACAAAGAGAAAAGGAGAGAAAGGAGGCGATGCTGCAACAGAAAGAAAAAGGAGAAAGCTCACGCCTTAAGAAGAGCTTTATTGCTCTGATACCATGACAGGATTTGAGAATGGCCTACTACCCTAGTAGGGTTGACTGTATATTTATATACAAGCAAGGTAATATGATAAAAATACAATAGTGCCCTCAAGGCTTACGTGATATCCCGTGTGTACATATCCTATTACAATCTAAAAATTATCCAATCATTAGAGCAACTACAATAACTATTAAACTAAATAGTATCTAGCAGCTGAATAATTAAACTAGCTAAAACATTGTTTCACAAAAATCTCTCAAACACTGAACCAAAAATAAAACAACTGTATTCCTTGACAACAGGGTCCACGTCTTGATACTCTAACGGCTTGTAATCAACCTACTCATCCACATTGATATTATTTTTTATGCCAAAATCTGTAAGTGTGTTGTAGGAGGTGAACAAAAGCCCATAGGAAAACCCTCTCAAATCTCGACAAGGTTTAAAAACAATAAAAAGAAAGCAAGTCTCTTTTGGAAAATAGCATATATAAATTTTTTAGAGTAAACCATGATAGTTGTAATGATCACAAGTGCACGGGAATACAGTAAATCAATGATAGGAATAAACATGCAAGAAATTAAAGCATTCAATAAATAACTCAGTAGCATCATCTCATATTTTCATGTATGTTGATTCATCCTCATTCTCATGTATGTTGGTTGCTTCTTAGAAATCTACACAAAGATTCTACCTGGTTCACCCATCACAATCACATAATCTCAGTCATTTTTCGCAGTGTCAAATCACAAACCACTTTAGGAAGGGCGTATACTATTTTTCACGGCATTGACGAATCATTTCCAAGAATGGTATAACATCCCTCAGTCTCGAACTTACGTGAACAATAGTGGTTAACCTCAAAAATAATAATCCACTATAAGTGTTAGGCAATCATCTCACCCCCACTGGGGTAGACTAACCTCTAACACTCTACGACAGTTCTCGTAGGCAATTCAAGTCCGTCACACCTAAACCATACAAGAGATGAAACCATAATTTTCTCTATAACCACAATCTTAATCAATCACAAATTTCATAAAAATTCAATTATCACAATTGCACAATTCTTAGTATACAACAGTAATAAAGAAATTAAAATATGCAAGAGATCATATTAAGAAAACTTTCACAATTTTGATATCAAAATTCTAGGGTTTTGCCAAAAATCACAATTTCTTTAAATAAGAACAAGTAGTTGATTGAAAATCAAATTTAGTCAATAATAGAAATTGAGAAATCAAGAATCCATTTGACTTTCACAGTAGAACATGTATTTTGGAAGAACTAGGGTTTTAGAGATTCAAGAACAATGTTTCTTGGATACAAGACATGTATTTTGTTAAAAATAATATGTTACTTGAAAAAGAATCCAAGAACAAACCATATATTAATCAAAAAAAACCAAGAACAAAAGATTATTTAACATATAATAATAATCTATAAGATTTAAAAGATACATAATTATACTATAAGTCTCAATGAAAGAACTTGAGAAGAATCATCTATCTCAATTCCGTAGTTTGTATATAAACCTAGCATGTTTGATTCATTCCAATATGAGAATCTCTTTGTATCTTTTGGTTTCTCCTTCTCTTTCGCTGTTTAAGGTTGCCTAGGGTTGAAAAATGACTAAAGAGACGTCTTTATGGTATTTATTGGGTGAAAACAGAGAAAAACCCTAAAATTGATTAGGGCCATTTTTAGGGTAGCATCTGAACTGTGCTTGGGCATTCAGACGGTGCTTGGAGTACCGTTCGGACGGCGCTTGGAGCGTCCAGACGGTGACAACTTTACATCCCAGCTTCAGAGCAGTTTTCACCTGTTTAAAAGTCGATTTGTAAAATTTTCATAAAATACACTTTTGTAACCCTTGAAATATAGTTTTCATTGTCAAAACATCAGCTCAATCAAAGTTAGAAGTAAAAAGTTATGACTAAAATACTAAGGTAGTGTCAAATTCATTCATACCCGAATTCTTTTTAAAATGTGTTTTAACTCCGAAATACTTCTTAACTTCTAATACACCCAATATTACCTCTCTCAAGGTTTTTCACCTTTTAGATTCAATGGAGACCTTATCTTGACCTAAAAATAATTAGAAACCTACCCAATCACCCTTCTCAAGCTAACACACCTTTGAAACTAAGTTTGACTTGAAAGTCAATTCGTCTAAAACTCAAACTTCATGATCAATATTTTAAAAATGATTCGAAGTTTTTAAAGTTTGTTTATTCATCCTAGGAGAAACGAGCCAGACACAAAATTAAACAAGCCAATAGGTCAAAACGGGTCAACATGTTTAAACACAAAAAAAAAAAATCTTGTCGGGTTCATGTCAAAATCAAATCAACCTGATTTTGACTTGATTAACTCATATATTTTAAATTTGTTGACATGATTTGGACACGAATCCAACTTAACCCATTGTAGACCCGTTTAACATGTTTATGACAGTATAATTTGTCAATTATGTATGACTTGTGTGATGTTAATATTATTAATTCTACTATTGTAATTGACAATATAGTTCTGAACATTATTATGATATTATAATAGTATAGTTCTTGCTTTAACTTTTGGGTTGAAACTAAAATGCATTTTAGTTAATTTCATTGATAAAATGTGATATGTTATTACTTAAAAAATTATTTGAAAATTTAAATGAATGATTGAATGATATATTAATAGTAATGAACAGGTGTGAAAACAGATTATGTGTGTTAAACAGGTTAAACATATCATGTTATGTGTGTTAACCCAAAAATAACCTATTTATTGAATTTAGATCCCTCCATTACTATTCTTCGATTCCCCTCAATGTAGTGATAGATGAGTGACATGTGTAAGATTTTAAATTTTAATGGACAAGATTTTTTTTCATTCATTTTATTATTGATGAAGTGTTAATCATTATTAGGAAATTTTCTTATAAAAAAAAATAATGTCCATTGAAATTCAAAATTTTACACATGTCACTCATCTAGTACTGCATTTGAGGGGAATTGAAAGGAATGAGTAATGGAGGAAATCTTGTTCCCTATTTATTAACTATGTCAAACAAGTCGGGTTTTGGATAATCCAATTAATAGTCAAGTCAGATTTGTGTTTACACATCTCGACATGATTATTAAATATAGTCAGATATGTGTTTTGGGATTTTCGATACAAACTCGAAATTAACCCGACACGAAATGACCTAACTCAACACACTTGACACCCCTAATGATAATGAGTGATCAGTGGGGGGTGTTACCATGTTGGTTGAAGGAAGTTGGCAATGTTTCGATGGTAGGGGCGACGCTGGTGGAGGAGTCATCGATGGAGTTGGGTGCTAGTTGTTGCTTTTTTTTTGAATCTCCTACTTCTGCAGAAACTTGAAAGAGAGAGAGAATATAGTGAGTGGGTAGGAAATGGTTTTGATTCGCACTTTTTTTAATGATCGGATTAATATTATACACCCAAGAATAAGTGGTCAAATTATAATTTTCTAGGTTTTAAGTCCAAATATCGATCCCACGAAGAGTTTTAATAATTTAAAAATGAAATAAAATAGTAAAGTTGCTAATTCGAATAAGACAACATGTGATAGCTTGTGATGTGAGCATCGAGTCTACGTAAACAGTTATGTGCAGATAGAGTAAAATAATAATAAAAAATAACATTCAGTTCAAGGATCCCATATGCGTTATATTGGTTAAATGCTGGAAATGCTACCTTACAACAATCAATTTCCATTTTACTGACAAGTCAATTGATAGGTCTGATGTATATAAACCATCACATAGCAACTTCTTAGGTTAGCTGGTGGTATCCATGACAACTGAATAATCCAAGCAAACTAGAAGGATAAGTCATTCATGAGAAATACTTGAATTATTCATTTGTTTTCATAATAATAAGTGCACATATAATAAACCATAACATAACCATTTCTTAGGTTAACCGGTGGTAGTAGTCATAACACAACAACTTTTTAGGTTAGCTGGTTATAGATATGTCAATTGACTAATCCAAGCAAACCAGAATGACAAGTCATCCATGAGGAATACTTGAATCATTCATTTGACTCTATCGGTGATACATATATACCAGTTAAACATCCTCAGTGTTCCGGTGGAGGACTAGTCATACCGATAGGAATGTCGTGGTTGTTAGATTGGTAATATTATCCTTTATACTAGNCTTTTTTTTTGAATCTCCTAC